AAGATGAGTGGACTTCAACTCTGGGAGTTGAAGTCCACTCATCTTAAAGTGGCCAAGTTTGGACAACACTGTCTTAAGGCATTGCAATCAAAACAAATGGAATGCCTTTATATAACATCAGAGTTGATCAGGCTAATTTCTGTCATCAATATTGTGATTGTTTCTTCCTCAGGGATAAATCAACAAATCATTTAAAACTCTCCCCACCCTAGTATGGACTGAATAGCCCCATTCAAGCAATATATTCCCATATATAATTCAGCACAAGGAACCATGACCATACAAGGTTCTAGCTTACAAGGAAGCCTCATGTGTAGCAGGCACTCTGCTGAAGCAGTTGTGTAGTAGCCATAGAAGACTGTTCTGCTCTGATATCAAAATGCAACTTAAAGAGTGTTCAGTTCTGTCTGGAATTGTACTGCCTGGTGCTCAATGTCAGTCAGTCTAAGAAATTGAGTGACAGCCCTAAAACCTAATTAAAGTTGTATAGTTTTACTTTTCCGAAGCTTTTTTCTCATCACTTGTCCCACCCATTGCTAACTTCTCATTCAGGCTGAGGAGCGGCTTGTACCTAGTCACTGTAGGAAATACTATTAGTAAGTGATGGGCAGGGATAAAAAAGTTTTTTTTTTAAGCCTGCAAACTTCCTTATGCCAGTTCCAGTATCCCCCAAATTAAATGAGAAGAGCTTTTTCATTTCATCAGCATTTTCCAAAGTCAAATTGCCGGGAAGGGCAAACATTGTCTCCATCTTCTCTGAAAGATAAAAAAAAAAAATATATGCCTTTTATTGACAGACTCATACCCATGATTTGGGCAGCCTCCAAATGGCGCTCAGGACACATCGGTGCTGTGAAAGTAAACACTGCTGGAGAGGTGAGGATAACGGAAAGACCATGTGGCTGAAGGAAAGCAAAGCACAGCACATTTTATTTAGGCAACTCATATTACTGATAATCATTGAGAAATTCACTGAAAAATCACAGTAACAAACGTACGTATATCATTATAGACCAAGGGCTAATGGGTTTATTAAATTGTTACCACTAAAGAATGATCCACATTATAATCCTTTGCTTTATAATTCTTCACCAAACCGGAAATTGGATAAGACATGCCATGGCTAGAGAGAACAAAGAACCTTAATTAGTACCAGAATTACAGAATAAAGAAATCCTGTAAACTATTTGGAGAGATACAAGCTGGTAATCACGTAATTGTCCAGAAGAGGTGCAAGAAAAAGATCTGTGAATGCCTCGCCTCCCAATCCTCTCAGCCCAAATTTGTTTTCATTTCAGTTGTGCCAAAGGGACTTTTAATAATGATGCAAATAAAAATGTTGTGCTCAGCTTACCAAAGATGTACACCAGCATTTCCAAACCCAATGCCAGCAAAAGCACTTGCCAGATGCATGTTAAATCTTGCTTCTCGATCTTCTGGGTTCTTTATGGCTCTGCCCATAATAACAATATTTTATCCATGGAAGCAGGTATGTTCACATATAGAAGGCAAGTTCTTATAGTATGTTAAGTGTTAACAGGTTATTGTTCCTTCAGTTTTTCACAGACAGTAAACCATTTGGTTGTAGCTTAGCAGCAAGCATATTGCTTTCCATGAAGTAAAATCCAGCTTCAGTTTTCCCAGCCTGGTGGCTCCCAGCTGTGTCAGACTACAACTCCATCACCTCCACTCAGAATAGCTTTGCTATGTAGGAATGAGGGTAATTGGTTGCCCTAGTGCTGCTAGGTAGCTTATGATGGGAAATACTCTGCAAGTAAGAATGGACAGCAGCAGACCAGACAGACAATTTAATTTACACAGACAGCTTCTTGGGTTTTCATTTTGTCAGAAAACAGATGAAAGAAAGATCCCATCTATTTTATATACAGTGAACTGAGGGTGCTTGTACATCTATCTACATATATTGGTAGAATTTTTCAAGAAATCCTTGAAGAGTGCAAAGAAAGGTCATTTACATTCCTCATTCTCTGAAGAAAGGCCATGACAGCATGGAATAGTTGGAAAGGCCTACCAACATCAATATTCAAAATGCACATGTTGGAGGAGAAACTCAAACTATCTTGATCAAGAAGACTTTCATTATATATACATATCCAGTTACAATGCCTTTCAGAATGTATATATATTAAGTCTTTGATTATCCTTGTTGGATGGCAAGACTGGATAGAAGACAAACAATCAAATTATTGCTACTGGTCATAGCAGACGATGGCAGATGCTATGATTCCCAGAGTATGACGCCATTGCATTTGTTCCACGTTAATTTTTTACTATCATGAAAGGTTTGTGTTCTTACTTTGTGAGGAGTACTGCAAGTATCCAACTTTTGTGATGTGTCAGAGTTGCTTAGCTAGGCTTTGTAATAGCCAGTCTTTCAATAATCTGATGCCCTGCACAATTCCTCAAACACCTGGTTGGGAACAACGGGATTTGTAGTCTAACATATCTGGCAGCACTATATTACTGTAAACCGCTTTATATGCTCTTTATAAACTTATTTCAGGAAGTAACAACCTGACAAATTATTAATTCTCTTTGCTATTATTTGCTACCATTGAAGAATAATACAGGACTTAAAAATCCATGCAATACAGTAAGATTCTGCCATTCAAAGTTTAGGCATTCATTTGAACAGTAAAAAGGAACACTTTTTAATACAAGGAATAAAAGGTCATTTGAAGACCTGTACCTCTTTAAGTATTTAGCAACGATCTGTAATGCATGGACAGCCCAGACGTCGCTGATGGGGTTGCTTCCTTGATAAGCTGGCCGGTTCATTGGATTTGAAGGACAGGGGCTGCGCTGGTTGTAGGGAAGAGCAGTATAGGATTCGAGAGCATGGCTGGCAGGTTGAATGGGGAAGTGGGGAGAAATACATAAGAACCTGGATTCATGGGTTTTCTCCTATAAGGACTTGCAAATCAATTTTATTGGAAAACAAAGGATCAGTGATTGTTCCTGACTCCTTTTTTATGCAGTTAACATATCTTAGTACTTAGTTTTAGTGCAACTATTTTCCAAATGTCACAAAAGACATGTATCATACTGAGCTACCAATAAACTTCTTTACATTTAGGGTTTTGTTATGAGAGGATGAATGTTTTCCTAGTGCTTATTTTAATGCTTTCTTAGGCCCAAAAATGTTCCCTCATAACTCATTAGGGTTAATTTAAACAAAAGAAATTGAAGCATGAGTCAATAAAAGATAAACAGGGTCTCTCCTGAGGGCGCCCAATGGACTACTTATCATACCTTTTTGTCCTCAGAGAGACTGCTAACTGATTGCATGGAATAGCAGGGAACTACAGCTGGAACTGTAATTAACAAGGCAAAAAACTAGACCTCATTTCCAGCTAAATATGACTAACTTGCTTGTATGTAAGGTAAAAGCAAAAGGCTTCATAATCCCATCTGAGAGCCTCAACACCAACCTGTTGAATGTACAAACTGTACCCAAGAGAAAAACAACCTATTCCACTGATATTCAGTTTTGTTCTCCCTGCTGCAGTTTGCAGTCCATGAGACAGGTGGTAAGACAGTAAATCAGCTTCCCAATCAGAAAACAAAAGGCAGGAGTTATACCCACAAATGTGTGTTCCTCCTTAAGGAGAGGCAGGGGAAGAACCCCCCCCCCTTCTTTAGGAAGGATGCACATTTATGACACTTCACTGCTGCTTTGCTTTCAGCACCTTACAATCTATGGTCTGTATGTATGTGTCTGCATGTATGTGTATTCAAGTGTGTTATTCTCCCTTGTTGAATCATATTGAAGGCAAAGGCTACTTTATAGACAGGTTTTCTCTAATTCCTTTAATTTGCTTTCAAATTATATTGAAATTGGGTTGCTACCTCCCAGTGATCACAGGAGATTCTAGCACACTTTTTCTGCCCTTCCACCCAAGAAGAATGAGATTTAAGAAGAAAGATTATGTTTTATATGGACATGGCCAAGCTAAACATGATGTATCTCCAATTTTGTATGTGTTTATGTAGGTATCCTGAAATTATGCACAGGTTACAGCCCAATTCAATTTTTGACCCGAGTAGCATCACATGGACTGACCCCAGCCTCTGAGGAAAAGGAAAAGTCTAGAGAAATCACCACATTTCATAGCCTATCCCTCAGAAACTCTGGTTAAAAGCAGTTATGGAAGTTTTTGGAAATCTGATTAATAGAGAGTGAAGCTCAGTATATTGTAGTTTATGCTAGTCTGGCAACCTCAGATGTGTTGGGATTTAAAATCCCACAATTTCTAGTCAACATGGCAGTAGAGACCATGATGGCCAGGGAATTTGGGTAGTTGAGTGTCATGTTGGGGAAGGAAGGTTAGTTTAGTCAATAAAGTTGAAATAATTAGAATCCTATCTAATGAAGTCTTGGGCGCTTAGAGAAAATAATTTTTGTGGACTCCAGAAATGTTACAATATCCCAGAGGACTTTTGGGTCAGGCCATGTTGAGATGTGGAAAAGTTACTGTCATCGTACTGACAACTGGAAAACACTGAAACAGTATATCCAAGTAACACCAAATTTTTAAAAACATTATAACCCCTTATGATCATGATCTATCCCAGTTAATTCTGGAAACTGTAGTTTGATGAGGCTGCTGAGAATGATCTATTAATATGTCAATTCAGGATTCTAAAAGAAGAAGATATGGCTATTAGATCATTAGAACAGTAATGTTAAGACTGACTTTCATTTGTTTTATAAGACATTTAAAGACATTCAAATGTGCCCATTAGCCCCCATGTGTTAGCCCTTTGGGGTACTTCAGACAAGAAGTACTACCAGGAGTATCAGCCCTATCTTTATGTTAAGGTTACATTAAATAGAATCTTGAAAGACTGAAAGTATTTTTCCCCTCCTCTCTTTTTAGTTTCGAGAAAACTAGGGACGGTCCCTTCTGAAGCACTTCCCATACTTTTCCCCCACTTGCCAACTGAGCTGCCTCTTATCAGACCATTGCCTAGGCTGAGGGTCTTCTTCCTGTCTCCCCACGGTCCCAAAATGTGAAGTTATCTAATGTAATGTAAGTTATCTAATTCCATCACACCACAGTCCCAAAATGTGAAGTTATCTAATGTAAAGGAAATCTACAAAAATTTGTATGAAACATACTTACCAAAGCACATCAAAACCACTATTAGCTGCCACTCGCTCTGGCATATGGAGAGTATGTAATGGGTCAATAATACCCAAAGAAGGCTTAAGGGATCGAGAAGCAATTCCTACATATGGAAAAAAAATATATGCATACTTAGAAATAAGAGCTTTCCAAATAGTCTTCGCAATAATAGTTGAAATGATTTAATTAGACCATGCAATGCATTTTAAACTTTCAAGTAATTAAGATTATTACTGAGATTTAGACAACATTTCAGAAAAGAAGCTTTAAAAAAAGCTAAGAGGCAATATAAAATAAAAATATATGCATATGTACAACCCTTACCAGTTTTTACTTTTAGTTCTTTGTAATCAAAAATAGCAACTCCAGTGGTTTCACTTCCAGTTCCAGCTGTTGTAGGTACTTTGGAAAAGAGCAAACTAAATTTAATAGTATCCCCAGCTACACATCATTGTGCACACAACATGATACATCAGAGGTGGGGAATGTGCTGCCCTTCAGGTACTGATCGCTTATGGCTATAATCCCCCAAAGACTCTAGCAGCTACACCTGGAATCCAATAGCACATAGATGACTACAAGTTATTCACTCACCAGTAAGCCAACCAATTAATTGTGCAGACAATAAAATTACAGAAGGACTCTTAGGATATTTTGGTGAATTATCAAACAGCCTATAAAAGGTTGTCACCTGCCATGTTATGCCCCAGTAGCTGCCTTGGAACAATACAATGTCATTATGTAGAATCATTCTGCGGAAAAAATGGTGAAAGCTAGGGGGAAAAAAATCATTGCAAAACAAGAGGGAGAGGAAAAAATGTAATTTGAGCAGAATACCCCATTATAATGAAAAGTATCTGTTGTTATTATTGAACAGGTTCTCTAGCTATGTGAGTGTATTTTCTTGGTGTGATTTCCCCAAATAGCTCAGAGCATCTTATCCAAGCAGTTTACAAAGCCAGATCAAGTAATGATATGAGAATTCAAGCCTATCATACAAGCTCTATTGTTTTACAGCCAACCCCCCAGCCCAGAGGCTTTTCCTTACCTGCTAACAGAGGTTTGAGGCGGACTGTAATAGGCTTGCCTTTTCCAATAGGAGCATTGACATAATCTAAGAAATCTGATGTTGGACTCGATGCGTAGAGATCAGCAGTTTTACAAGTATCTATAACTGAACCTCCACCTACAGCAACATAGGAGTCAAACTCCCCCTTTTTGGCAAACTCAATGGCATCTAGGAAACTTGAAATGAAAAAATCATTTCTATTTACAGTATTTTACACTTCTCCAACTCACAGTTTGTGAAGTATCATAATGTGCTTATCCCCACCCCCCACCCCAGGTTAGGAGTCATGGTACAGCAATATCTGGAGTTCACAGCTTCTTCATCTCTGCCTAATTATAACCATAGGCTGCACAAACATAGGAGACAATAAATACCTTTGGTCTGTGGGCTCCACTCTTACGTTATCATATATTTGGAAGTTTATACCATTGACTGTCAGAGAATCCAACACTGCTGTCATGGGAGGGAGCTGACAGAGGTTCTTATCTGTCATCACACAAACTTTTCTAGCACCCCAATTCTGCAAGTCCTATAGTAAATGAAAAAGTAGTTAAAACAAAGAGGGAGAATGGGGAAAAAGACAAATTTGAAAATGACCTTCCACCATAAAATGCTAAATATTTTATGTGTAGTCCCAATATATCTGGGAAGGCACCAGTTGAGGAAGCTGCGTTCCTGAAAAATCTAGTCTTGAACAGTTGTGTTGAGAAATTGGATCTAAATCAAAATAGTTCAGAATTGAAAACTATCACTTAGGATTACCAATACTTCAGTCTCATCAAGTTCTTTCCCTCATTTTCAGCTTTATTTCCTCATATCATTTAGTATCTACTGAGCACTTATAGTCTTTAGAACCTTTTCTTAAATTTTATAGCTTGTGGACTATTTCCTCTTGTGCATACATGTAGTTATTTTGGCTATGCAGTACAGGATTAGTACTCAGAAAACTGAGATCACCCTTAGTATATAAACTGACATCTCTGAGTATAATGGTTAATTCCTTGACTGCAAAAACCCGAGGGAACGTTCCCCAGCCTGGGTCTCCATATGTATTGGACTTCAAACCTTGCAATCCTTAGCTAACCTAGCCAAAAACAATGGCAGACACAGGATGCTTTATAATAATTCTGTTTTATGTGATGTAGTCACAATGCATGTAAAATTCTTCCTCCCCCTCAAAAAGAATTAAGTAACTACTTTCTTGAAATATGTAAAAACTATTCTATACCATTCCCACTTCTTTAGTAACTCCCTCTCCATATCGGATATTGGAAACAGCCATCTGGAAAAGTCAAGAAAAATACATTTCAGTAAAAATATTTTATGGAAGCATGCCCACAAAAGTTACTTCTTAATATAACCAATGTGAGTGTGCCATTCAATAAGTAGCAGTTTATTCACTGTCTTTACCTCAAAGGCATAGTCCGTTTTCGACAAAACAATGTCTTTAGTACCTAGAACAAAAATGACACATTGGATTTAGCCTGCTGTTTAGCTACCTATGGAAAACGACAGAAATTCTACTTGAATGGACATTTGGGTTTACATAATGTTTTAAAGATTTCACCACAGAGATGAAGGTAAATGCTATAAAATGCCATTCCTGTCATTGGAAACTGAAGAGACATCTGTAGGGTGGGGGCCATCGGTTCACGTGAATGACACCCCTGTGTGAACACATTTCAGCTACAGGCAGTAAATCATAACAGATATTTCTGAAATTATTACTGGCACATATAAACCAGCCCTTCAGAAATACAACTGCAATTGACCCTTTATGAACTTTTGGGTAAAACAGAAAAAAATGAACGTACGATCTATGGTTTTGATGCATACTTAGAAATAAGAGCTTTCC